CCGCCCTCCTCTCTCTCTTTAAAAAAAAAAAAAAAAAAAAAAAAGATTGAACCCAGAGGTGGTCTACCTCTGAGCTACATTTAAAATTTTTTTAAAAAAAATTTTTTGTGGGGATTTAACCAAGGGGTGCTTAACCACTGAGCCACATCCCAGCCCTTGTTGTTTCTTATTTTGAGACAGGGTCTCTCTAAGTTGCCTAGGACCTCACTTAAGTTGCCTAGGATTAGGATAGCCTGGAACTCGAGATCCTCCCATCTCAGCCTCCTCGGTAGCTAGGATTACAGGCATGTGCCACTGCATCCAGGTTTCCGTTTCTGTCCCTTTTTATAATACTGCTTCCGTCTTTCACAGTATTGCCTTGTTTGTGCTCAGTGAGTGTTGGACTGTGATCTCCTTGTTTTCTAGAAAGCAACGCAGTGGACTGTAGCGTCGAAGTCAATCAGTTCTGATTTTGGTACCATTGTCTTGTTGAAACTGACCTTGGACCAGTCCTTTTTTTTCCTTTTTGTGGGGTTGGGGATTGAACCCAGGGATGCATTCAACCACTGAGCCATCCCCTCAGCCTCTTGGATGAATTCTTTATGTGCTCTAAGCCTCTGTTTCCTTAAATGTAAAATGGGAATAATAATAGTACTATTATTTATCATTTAGTTATTTGTTGCCTTATAACAAATTATCCTCAGACTTAACAGCTTAAAACAAGAATTTCTCAGGGTCTGATGACCAAAAATCTCGGACCTGCTGGACTGAGTCATTCTCACTCGGGGTCTCCCAGTGGAGCTTTTAACTGTGGCCGTTGTCATTAGCAGACTTGAGTGAGGCTGAAGGATCCGCTTCTAAAATGACTTTCTCAAATGGCTGTGGGTTGGGGCCTCAATTTTTGGCTCTATGGCTTTATAAAATTGCTTGGGTGCTCTCACAATATGGCAGCCACCTTCCCTCAGAATGAGTGATCCAAGGAGGAAGCCCCCATGCCTTTTTATGACCCAATCTCAAACTTACACACCACTTCCTCATTTTCCTATTCACAAGAAGGGAGCCACTAAACACAGCCCATCCTCAAGGGGAGCAGAATCAGGCTTCACGTTTTGAACAGAGCATCACAATCTCTGGATGTGTTCTACACCGTCCCTGGTCCCCAGGCTTGTCATGAGAACTCAGTGCAGGTGACGCGGAAGGGCCCCTGGTTCCGTGCCTGTCGTGCAGTGAGTGTCCGGTGCATGATAGTCGTTCCCATCGTTCTGGGTCTTTCTGAGAGTCTTCATCCCTTTCCCAGAAGCGACAGAAGCTGGAGCCGTCCCGGGTTCGACTGGAGCGGCAGCTGGAGGAGAAGGCGGAGGAGTGTGACCGGCTGCAGGACCTGCTGGAGAGGAAGAAGGGGGACGCCCAGCAGAGCACCAAGGAGTGAGTGCGGGATGGCACGTGGGGGGCGTTAGAGGCCCCCCTCCCAGGTCCCAGGGAACAGAGGGGGTCTTCAGAAGCTGAAGGGGGGCGGTTCACCCAGGACCTTCTCTTCACTTTCTCTCGTAATGGAGTTAGTGTGGACTCGGACTCAGGCCACCTGGTGGCCTCTGTGCCTCAGGTGCTTAATCTGCAAACTGAGCTTCCCTGTCGTGCCTGCCTCACGGGGTTGGTTCAGGTGTTCTCCCAGCGACGTTGCAGGACAGGCACTGTCTTAGCTCCCGGGGTATGTCAGTGAGCGATGCAGAGAAGCACCCTCTTCTCCAGAAGCTTAGTTTCTCGAGAAAGGGAACCGACAGGAAACCAGCATCGTCTGGAACTAAATTGGTAACACAGGAGAAGATGGTGAGTAGAGCAGGCTCAGCAGATCAGGAAGGTCAGGTGTTCGGGGGGCAGACTGCAGTATGGAGTAAGGAGGTCAGGAGAGCCTTGGTTAAGACTTGAACAGGGAACCAGCCATGGTGGCCCACACCTATAATCCCAGCTACCTGGGGGGCTGGGCAAGAGAATTGCAGTTTTGAGGTCAATCTGGATAACTTAGGACACCCTGTCTCGAAATAAATAAAAAGGGGTGGGAATATACACAGCAAAGGAATTAAGAATGTAGCTCAGTGGTAGAGTGTCCGCCTCCCACGCGTGAGGCCCTGGGTTCTATCCTCAGCACCATATAAGATAAAATTAAAAAAAAAAAAAAGAATGTGAAGAGAGAACCTGCAGAATGGGAGAAAACCTTTGCCAGCTATTCTCCTGACAGAAGATTAATATCCAGAATATATAAAGAACTCAAAAAACCAGATAACCCAATTAGTAAATGAGCAGATGAAGTAAACAGACACTGCTCAAAGGAAGAAATGCAAAAGGCCAATAAATATATGAAAAAAGTTCAACGTTGTTAGCAGTTAGGGAAATGAAAAGCAAAACTTCGCTGAGATTTCATCTCACTCCAGTTAGTTGGGCAGCCGTCAAGAATACAAACAGGGCTGGGGTTGTGGCTCAGTGGTAGAATGCTCGCCTGGTATGTGTGAGGCCCTGGGTTTGATCCTCAGCACCACATAAAAATAAAGGTATTGTGTTCAACTACAACTAAAAAATAAATATTAAAAAAAAAAAAAAGAATAGAAACAGTAGCCAGGTGGGGTGGTGCATGCCTGTAATCCCTGCAACTAAGGAGGCTGAGGCATGAGGATTACACGTTTGAGGCCAGTCTTAGCAACTTGGTGAGACCCCATCTCAAAATAAAAGATAAAGAGGGCTGGGATGTAGCTCAGTGGTTAAGTGCCCCTGCATCCCTGGTACCAAAAAAAGAAAAAAAAAAGTAAGGAATATAAACAATAATAAAATGCTAGAGAGAATGTGTAGAAAAAGGAACACTTTTACACTATTGTTGGGACTGTAAATTAGACAACCAATATAGAAATCAGTAGGAGGTTCCTCAAGACCCGGATGGAATCACCATATGACCCAGCTCTCCCGCTCCTTGGTATTTGTCTTGAAGAATTAGTCATACTGTAATGGTATGTGCAGACCTGTGTTTATTGCAGCATAATTCACAATAGCCAAACTATGGAACTGGCCTAGATGTCCTTAAGTGGATGAATGAATAAAGAAAAATGTGGTATACATACTCAGTGGAGTTCTATTTAGCCATAAAGAAAGGTGAGATTATGTCATTCTCAGAAAAATGGTGGAACTTGAGAACATTATGATAAACCCAATAAGCCAAACTCAGAAAGTCGAGGGCCATATGTTTTCTTTCATATGTGAGAGCTAAAGAGGAAAAAGGAAAAGAAAAGTGAAGGGGACCAGGGGGAGGGAGGCAGGGAGGGAATGGGGAACCACTGGGGAGTGATACTGGCCAAAATACATTGTTAAATTATGTGCAAGTATGAATATGTAACAATAAAACCCATTATGTGTACTATAATGCGCCAATTTAAAAAAGTGGGAAAAAATAAAAGGGTTGGGGATACAGCTCAGTGGTAGGGCACTCCTGGTTTCAATCCCCAGCACTGAAAAAAACAAAATAGATGCTGGGCGCGGTGGCGCACGCCTATAGTCCTAGTGGCTCAGGAGGCCGAGACAGGAGGATCGCAAGTTCAAAGCCAGCCTCAGCAACAAAGGGGAGGCACTAAGCAACTCAGTGAGACCCTGTCTGTAAATAAAATACTAAATAGGGCTGTGGATGTGGCCCAGTGGTCGAGTGCCCCCGAGTTCAATCCCCAGTGTCAAAAATAAGTAAATAAATAAAACAAAATAGAACCCAAACAAACAAAAGATTTGAATACATACTTAAAGGGGGTTTAAGGGGCTGGGGTTGTGGCTCAGCGGTAGAGTGCTCGCCTAGCACGTGCGAGGCCCTGGGTTTGATCCTCAGAGCTACATAAAAATAAATGAACAAAATAAAGGTATTTTGTACAACTGAAAAATAAATATTTAAAAAAGGGGGGTGGGTGAATGAATGAATGAATATGCAGTATTTAGAAAACTGCCCGACACCTGGTGTTCAATGGTGTCATCTATTATTAGGCTCCAGAACATGAAGCTGCTCCTGGACCAGGGTGACAGGTTACGGCACGGACTGGAGACCCAGGTGATGGAGCTGCAGAACAAGCTGAAGGAGGGTCAGGGTTCTGAACCTGCCAAGGAGGTGCTGCTGAAGGTAGGGAGTGGGAGTATGTGCCCAGTGTGGTTCCTCTTACCTGGAGCAGGCTCAAGTCTGCCCATTCATGGTTTTCCCAAAGTACAGAGTAGATGGCTTGTTTCAGGTACTCCTGAGTGTGCGTGCAGGCAGACTCAGAGGTGGGATTGGCCCTCAGCCCAGAATAACAGGTTCCCTTTATCCTAACGAGGCATCTTGGTGGGCAGGGAAAACCTGGGTACATATCTAGTACAAGGTGCTCAATAAATGTTTTTTTTTTTTTTTAATATTTTTAAGTCGTAGATGGACCCAATACCTTTACTTATTTATTTTTGTGTGGTGCTGAGGATCGAACCCAGGGCCTCACATTTGCTAGGCAAGTGCTCTACCGCTGAGCCACAGCCCTCAATAAATGCCTCTTGACTGAATGAATGAATTCGTAAACAGAGGATCCTAACATGTCACCCCTGTGCTCTTCTCTTCCCTTTCCCCAGGAATTGTTAGAGACCCGGGAGCTTCTGGAAGAGGTCTTAGAGGGGAAACAGCGGGTAGAGGAGCAGCTGAGGCTGCGGGAACGGGAGCTGACAGCCCTGAAGGGGGCCCTGAAGGAAGAGGTGGCCTCGCGTGACCAGGAGGTGGAGCAGGTCCGCCAGCAGTACCAGCGAGACACGGAGCAGCTTCGCAGGAGCATGCAAGATGCCACCCAGGCACGTGACCAGGGCAGGGGCTGGGAGGCAGGACACTGCCCGGGAGTGGGTCTGTTTGGGGGTCTTGCATTTTTGGACTCTTCATGGTTTAAACAGGGCCTCTCCCTAAAGGACATGTGTGAGATGTGGTCAGAACCCGGGCCAGGAAACCTATAGAGACATGGGGAGGGGGAGCAGGTCTGACTCACCGTGAGGATGTGTGGCCAGAGGGCCGCCGGGAAGTAATGGGGGAGGCTTCCTGTAGATGACAGAGAAGAGGAGGTGACCTGGGGGGAGAGAACCTTCTGCTAGCATTGTGCTAGGTACCACCGGGATGTTGGGGTGCAGCTGGCTTGGTGCCCTCTGGGTCTCAGCTTCCCCCTCTACACTGCATTTTGCCTTGAAGTAAGCCTCCTGGCACCCACCTTTCCCCTTACCTAGGACCACGCAGTGTTGGAGGCCGAGAGGCAGAAGATGTCAGCCCTGGTACGGGGTCTGCAGAGGGAACTGGAGGAGACCTCAGAGGAGACCGAACACTGGCAGAGCATGTTCCAGAAGAACAAGGAGGAGCTTAGAGCCACCAAGCAGGAGTGAGAACCTTGCACTTGTTCCAGGAATACTTTTCTGTGACTCTTGTCCCCACTGCCTTTCTCCCCGGGCTGCACTTGACTCTGTCATCTCCCAAATGCATGTCCACTATGTCCACCTTCCTCTCTCTCGAGAGTGGGTACTCGGTGTAGTGGCCTCCAGGAAGGGGGTTCCACTGTCCAACACACCTCTCCCAGACGTGAGGTCTGACCCTGTTCCCTTTCCCCTTTATTTTACCTTGGCTGGGCTCAGACTCCTGCAGCTGCGGATGGAGAAGGAGGAGATGGAAGAGGAGCTTGGGGAGAAGGTGGAGGTCTTGCAGAGGGAAGTGGAGCATGCTCGAGCCAGTACCAGAGATAATCTCCAACTTGAGGAGCTCAAGAAGGTACGTGGGAGCTGGGGTGCAGAACAGCCGTTGGACACCTCGGCTATCCACAGGACTTCCTGCAGGGCTCCCTCTCCTGTGCTTGTCTTCAGGCCTCCTCCTGCCAGATTGTGTCCTCACTGTGTAGAGAAAGGGCTCGCAGCAGCCAGGTCGGGGTGTAGCCAGAGGCTGCTGGCTGCCCCCCAAGAGACTTCATGGTCAGCAGCATTCAGGTGGATTTGGAAAACTCCAGGGTCCTTTTTACAGGCTCAGAAACGTGATTTGGTCAGCATAGCAAAAGCCGCTGTCCTTCAGGGGGGATTCATTAACTACGTGATGAAACAAATGTTTACAGTTAGAAGGCCGTTTATTAATTCCTAATGAGAAATATCATCGCATGACTGAGTGCGTTCATTGGCGTGGGCAGCTGACCTACAGGGGAAGCCAAATTGTAATCTGAAGGCTGTTCAGAGAGTACACAGTCAGGTCGTGGGGAGCTAAGGGGTACTGGTGTTCAAGGTCTCCATCTCTCCAGTCTCCAAGGCACAGCCTTGCTGGTGAGGCAGTAACACTTAAAAGTTCATGGTAAAGTTTCCTCTTTGTCCTGTATTTTTTTAAAGTTAATCCTTTTTTTTTTTTTAAATCATGCATGGATAATATTTCATAGAAGAGTCACAAATAATAAGGTCATAAAACTGAAGTGAACACAAATAATTTCTTCATATTCTTGGTGTTTCATTTATAAGGAGGCAATAATTATTTTTGGATGACTTAGATAACTTAGTTTCCTATAATTAATGAAAATACTTTCTTCTGGGCTGGGGATGTGGCTCAAGCGGTAGCGCGCTCGCCTGGCATGCGTGCGGCCCGGGTTCGATCCTCAGTACCATATACAAACAAAGATGTTGTGTCCGCCAAAAACTAAAAAATAAATATTAAAAAGAAAATACTTTCTTCCATTTATGGCCTCCTAAAGATTCTTTTAGCTCTTGTGCTTCATTGATCCACAGTTCTGGATATGTAGTAGATGCTCAGTTAACAAGTATTAGTTAATCCATGCTTGTTTATTACAACTCTACTAAAAAACTGCCTAGGTAGAATTAAAACAACTATATTTTTAAATGAAGAAAGAAATTGCTATAAATTATTACTTTGCAAGAATAAGAACCTAAGATTATGCAAAATATTTGGTGGAGAAAAACATTTAAAAAAAATGCTAGTTGGGCATGGCAGCACATGCCTGCAAACTAAGTGACTTAGGAGGCTGAGGCAGGAGGGTCACAAGTTTGAGGCCAGCCTCAGCAACTTACCAGATCCTATCTGAAAATAAAAGATAGAACAGGCTAGGATGTGAGATGTGATTTAATGGCAGGGTGCTCCCCTAGATCCAATCCCTAGTACCACCCCCCAAAAATAGAATCCATAAAAAATGTTAGCCAAAAATACCTTGATGAGTATTATGTCGTTATGTAATTTAAAATTGTTTTCCCAGGTAGCTGGGTGTGGTGGTGCGCACCTGTAATCCTGGTACTCAGGAGGCTGAGGAAGGAGGATTTAAGTAAGCAAGTAATTTAAAAATTAAGTAAGTTTACTTACGTAATTGCCAGCCTGGAAAGTTAGGGAGACCTTGTCTCAAAATAAAAAAATAAAAAGGGCTGTGGGTGTAGTTAGAGGTAGAAAGCCCCTGGGTTCACTCTCTAGTAACAAAAAGAAGAGAAATTTTATTTTTTTCTCACAAAAGCTTCCCAAAGAATGGTGAAGTTAGAAATACTCTTAAATACTTATTACTTGTTTTGAAGTTAACAACTATCAAGGATAGTCTGAAATCTCTTCACTACATTAGCTGACAGTGAACCTGGACAGTTTTCTCAACAATCTTTTTTTTTCTTTCTTTATATCAGGGATTGAACCTGGGGGTACTTCACCACTAATCCACATCCCCAGCACTTTTTATTTTTTTATTTTGAGACAGGGTCTCATTAAGTTGCTGAGGCTGGCCTTGAACTCGAGATCCTCCTGTCTTAGCCTCCCAAGTTGCTGGAATTACAAGTGTGACCGCCATGCCTGGCCACCTCTCAACAATCTTAGTCAATTTTTTATTTGGGTAAAACCGAAAAAGCAATAACTAGTGTTTAATTTATCTCATATAGTAAGTGTATTTTATCAAATATTTAGTAAATAAACAAAACATACATTGGGAAAACAGACTAAACAAGTCTAACAGAACTTTCAGTGTGCTGTTTTTCTTTTTCTTCATAATTAGTCCTATTAGTGTCTTACCTTGAAGATTCACCACGTTACGTGGTCCTTCAGCCTAATTATGGTTATTTTTGAATTGTATGAGTAACTAATAGCTAAAGAATTCATATTTTAATCTTCCTTTAAAAAGAAATTAGAGATGTCCTAATATTTATAGCATAACATTTTTGGTTTTCACTATTTTATAGATGACCAATCTTGTTTTGTCCATCAGCTAACCCACTCTCCCCCTGCATAATTTTTTAAATGGAGTTATATTTTACATACCGTGAAGTTCCTCCTTTTAAAGTGTACAGTGACTTTTACTGTGATCACAGAGTTGTGAGACCGCCACCACTGTCTAGGTACAACACAAGGCCCTCTGTTCCTTAGTAGTCATTCTCTCCACCCCCTGGCCGCCACTGAGCCGCTGTCTGGTTTTGCCTATTCTGGTTATTTCATATAAGCACAATCCTACAACATGTGGCCTTTTGTTTCTTTCACTGACATGTTTTCAAAATTCTTCCATGTGGTAGCAAATGTCTTCATCCCGTTTTTATGGACGAAGAAGATTCTACTCTAGGAATATGCCATATTTTGTCCATTGATCAACTGATGGACACTTGGGTCGTTTCTGTTTGACGTGTGTATAATGACTAATGCTGCTATGAACATCATGTACCAGCTTTTATGCAAACTATACATTTTTCAGTTCTTTGGGGTATGTACTGAAGAGTGGGGTTTCTGGGCCTTATAGTCAGTGTGTTTTTTTTTTTTTTTTTTTTTTTGTGGTACTAGGGGTTGAACCCAAGGCCTTATTCGTGCGAGGGAGGTGCTCTACCACTGAGCTACATCCCCATTCCTTTTCTTTTATTGTGAAACAGAGTCTCGATAAGTTGCCCACGCTGGCCTTGAATTTGTGATCCCCCTGCCTCAGCCTCCCGAGGAGCTGAGATCACAGGCCTGTGCTACTGCACCTGAGGATATTCAACTTTTTGCAAAACTGCCTAACTGCTTTCCAAAGTGGCCACATCATTGTTTTTTTTTTAATATTCTTTCCTGTAAAATGTGCGAGAGTTTCTCTATTTTTCCATCTTCTAGAACCTTAGTCTGGCTCTTCGTTCCTTCAGAAATGCCCTTCCCTTCCAGGAGCTTCGCTGGGCCCAGGATGAGCTCCAGGAGCTGCGAGCGCAGCGGCAGAACCAGGAGGCGGCTGGGCGGCACCACGACCAGGAGCTGGCGAAGCAGCTGGCGGTCCTGAGGGTCGAGGCCGACCGAGTCCCAGAGCTGGAACAGCAGAACGTCCAGCTGCAGAAGACCCTGCAGCAACTGACGCGGGACTGTGAAGAGGCTTCCAAGGCAAGGGGAGTGGGCGCCGGGCTTGGAGGTGGAGCCGGGGGCTGCAGAGTGCCCTGCTCTGCGGGACCCTGGACCCGAGGACCCACCGCGTCTGGGCAGGGCTGGGATTCCCAGGGCGCCCTGCCTGGGACCCCGCCTCCGTGCTCCTGGGTCCCCTGCGAGGTCTGAGCCGCTGCTCCCCCTGCCCGCAGGCCAAGGTGGCGGCGGAGGCCGAGACCGCGGTGCTGGGGCAGCGGCGGGCAGCCGCGGAGACCACGCTGCGGGAGACCCAGGAGCAGAACGACGAATTCCGCCGGCGCATCCTGGGTCTGGAGCAGCAGCTGAAGGAAGCCCACGGCCTGGCCGAGGGTGGGGAGGCGGTGGAGGCGCGGCTCAGGGACCGGGTGCAGCGCCTGGAGGTTAGTGGCTCCTCCCGACCTGTCCCTCAGATCTGGATAACCCTTGCTGGCCCCCAGCCGTCTGGTGTGGCCTCTTCTGGTTATTTCATAGAGCAGTTTTACTTGTAGTGCCATTCTGTTTGGCCTTCCCGAATCTTCTCGTTGCCTGGTTCGTGTCCTGACAGGTACTTTGGGAATGTTTCAGGCCGGGCTCGCGTATTTTCACCTCTGATCTCCCCCCTTTGCCTGCTCTCTGTGTCTTGATCTCTTTGCCGGTTCTGGGGAGCCAGTTTTTATGGCCCACCATTTTCATAACCACCTGCCTCCCCTCCCTCCCATGCGCCCACATCCAGATGACCTGAACCCAAGCTCTGCCCCTTCCCAGCCCAAACCCGGCACCCTCCCCTCTTCCAGGCGGAGAAACTTCGGCTCCAGGAGGCTCTGAATGAAGTTCAGGAGGAGGAGGGGAGCTTGGTAGCAGCCAAGCGGGCTTTGGAGGTCCGGCTGGAGGAGGCCCAGAGGGGGCTGGCCCGCCTGGGGCAGGAGCAGCAAGCCCTGAGCCGGGCCCTGGAGGAGGAGGGGAAGCAGCGGGAGGTACTGCGGAGGAGCAAGGCGGAACTGGAGGAGCAAAAGCGTTTGCTGGACAGAACTGTGGACCGACTCAACAAGGAGGTGGGCCCTGGGTGTTCTGGGCCCTCAGAAAGAGGCCCAGCTGATACAGAAGCTTGCCTAGGGGTGGGCTGGGGTGAGGCAGAATGTGGGGCATCTGCCTGCTTCAGAGATACCTCAGGTGTCGCTGGCTCCCCCTCTGTTTTCTCCTGCCCCCCAACAACCTGCTCTTCATAGTCTTCATTCCTGGGGGCTGTTTCCTGGAATTCTGCTTTAGAAGTCTATAAGATCCAAACTCAAGAATCTTCCTGAATAGAGTTTTAAACTGACGGAGGGAAAGCAGAGAGGGAGGCAGGGAAGTGAATTGCTTTTTGCTGATAAGGTCCTTCTCGCAATTCCTTGCTTTACAATGCAAGACCAACACCTCATGTATCCGTTCTAAAGTACACGTTTTACCCTTTCTGAAATTGGACTGCGTCTTATAATTGGAATAGGTATGTTACAGTTCAGTTGGCAGATTCTTTCTTAGTGTCACACCTTACGATTATTGTCACCTTGGGTTTGCTGAAACGCGGTCACTGGAGGTTCACTTTGTTTCAGACACTGAGGAAAGTTCTTTGTGTAATTAGCATCATTCTCTGACAACTCTGCAACGTAGGTACTATTGTTATCCTATTTTATAGATAGGAACAGAGCCAGAAAGGATAGGTACCATGCCACTGGTCACTAGTGGTAGAGCCAGAGCTTAGACCCCAAACCTGTGTATACAACCACTCTCCATGCTCGGGCCCTAGGCCTGGAAAGAGCAAGAGAGGGCCGCCTTGGCAGGGACAAGGCTCTAGGCAGAGTCTTGTGAGCGGGGCCTGGGGAGGGGACAGAGTCTCTCCTGACAAGGTGCAGGGCTGAAAACTCTTTTTGGTACATTTTAGCTGGAACAGATTGGGGATGACTCCAAGCAAGCCCTGAAGCAGCTCCAGGCCCAGTTGGAGGACTACAAGGAAAAGGCCCGCCGGGAAGTGGCAGATGCCCAGCGCCAGGCGAAGGACTGGGCCAGTGAGGCTGAGAAGACCTCTGGGGGGCTGAGCCGGCTCCAGGATGAGGTGGGAGCCTGAATGGCAGGCGGATGGGAATGTCGGTCTGATGTCCTTAGGTTTGAAGGTCACCGCCTCTGAAATGACCCTGTGGCCTGGGTTCCTGGGGCTGAGGTTCAGCTGTAAACACTTGCAATGAATGACACATGAAAGTGGGGGATGGTAGAGGGAGTTTCCTGTCCTAGGTACAGACGGCAGGGAATGCATGGTCTCAAGAGCAGTGGTTTTTAAGCTATGCTGCACATTGGTCACCTGGGGAGATTTTTAAAAATCTCAATGCTCAAACTGTATCCCATACTACTTAAATCAGGATCAGTATTTTTAAAAACTCCTTAGGCTGCCAGGTGCAATGGCATTTACCTATAGATCCAGCTACTTGGGAGGCGAGGTAGGAAAATCCCTTGATCCCAGAAGTTTGAGGCCAGCCTAGACTGTAACACAAACACACACATACACACACACACACACACACACACACACACACATCCCTACACCCCTACCTTCAAAGACCTCAAGTGATTCTAATTTGTATACAGAATTTTGAAACAGCAATGAAAATGAACTAAAATTCAGTCTGCTTTGTTGTGCTGGCAGTTCTAAAGAATGTCACTGAGGGGCTGGGGCTCTGGCTCAGTGGTAGAGCGCCTGCCTTGCATGGGGGAGGCCCTGGGTTCGATCCTCAGCACCACATAAAAATAAATAAATAAAGATATGTGTCCATCTACAACTAAAAAATATTAAAAAAATAAATAAAAAGAATGTCACTGATTTCTTCCCTCAAGGGCAGACTGATCTCACCCCTCAGTTCCCACCTCCATGTTACACTGAACTCTTCCATCTTCCCCTTTGGCAGATCCAGAGGCTGCGGCAGGCCCTGCAGGCCTCCCAGGCTGAGCGGGATACTGCACTACTGGATAAAGAACTTCTGGTCCAGCGGCTGCAGGGCCTGGAGCAAGAGGCAGAGAACAAGAAACGCTCCCAGGATGACAGGATCAGGCAATTGAAAAACCTTGAGGTGAGGACCTCGGGGGGTTGTCCTTTGGGGGAGAGTGCAAGGAGGGGGTTCTGGGCCCTGGCACAGGTGGCCTTCTGTGGGGAAAGGAACCAGGGTACTCTAAGCCTCTTTCTGTACTGGCACCCCAAGTGGATGGGTTTTGTTGGGCTGCAGGATTTTAAGCAGTCTTCAACTAAATTCCAATGTTTAGAAATTTATAGGTGTCATATAAGAATTTAGATTTCTGGCTTCTTTAAAAAATGTAACACTGAGCTTCTAGACCTGAGTTTTGCAAAGCACAGTTGACTGGAGCTGAGCAGTGCATCCCCCCTTTAGGGTGAAGAGTGGTCTTCAATCTGCTATACTTGAGAACAGTAATAACAGCAGTAGCAGCCGCAGCAAACATACATTGTGCCGTGTGCCAGGCACTTAAGCCTCATTTCATTTTCAGGATAACCCTGAGCTAGATAGTCTCGCTTTCTCTGTTTTACAGATGAGGAATACTGAGACCCAGTATGATCTTCAAACCTGACAGACTAGTCCCAAGTCCGTGTTCTTAGCCTGCCTGGCTTAAATTTGCTCCCCCAATATGTACTCTGGTGCTTTGGTTTCTGAGTCTCTGTTGGCCTTGGTACTTGGGTTTCTATCTCAGTTTTCCCATAAGGGAAAAAGGGGTCTCCCATGAGGAATGGATTCTGGGGTTTGCCTTCCTGCCATGATCACAGTCTGCTGCCCATGCCACGTGTGGTCAGAAGAGGGCGCTAGGTCCACGATGGCTCTGGGCAGGGGCAAGGATCTAAAGGCTCCTGGGCATAGGCAAAGGGAAGGCAGTGGAGGCTGGAGTTTGACAGGGCCCTGGTCTGAGCTTGGCATTCCGTGTCCAGCATTCGGGGAAGAACTGACCTTTTGCCCTTCTGCCTTAGGAGAAAGCCTCTCGCCTGGAAGCCGAGTTAGACGAGGAGAAGAACACCGTGGAGCTGCTGTCAGACCGCGTGAACCGTGGCCGGGACCAGGTGATTCCCACTGTGTCTGCTCCCGACTATGTGACCTCTGGGCCTTCTCAGCAACCATTCTACCCTACGTCTTCTGTGATCCGGAGACTTCTGGCTGCAGGCTTGAGTGTGGCTAGGTCTACTTCAGGGTCTCTTCTACTTTAGGAGGAGTCGGCAGGTTTCCTCAAGTGGAAGGAAGCCAGGAATTTGAGTGGAGGAGAGTCCTGCTGGCCTGGGCTACTCCGACCTGACTCAGGGCTGCTGCAGTTAGGAAGGGCTGCTAGTTCCTGCTGGGACTAACGAAGCTCTGCCTCAGTCTCTGGCTCCTCTCATTGGGATAGACTGTGATGACTTAGTTGCTTGGGAATTTTGGGGTTCACAGGCCATCCTCCAGGGGTGTGCCCCACCAGGGCTCTGTCCTACTTGGCTCAGCTTACTGGCTCATTCTTTGCCCTCCCCAGTGCTAGTCCCTGTCTCCCATCCCCCAGGTGGATCAGCTGAGGGCAGAGCTCATGCAGGAGAGGTCTGCTCGGCAGGACTTGGAGTGCGACAAGATCTCCCTGGAGAGACAGGTAAAGGAGGGAGGGTTTGGGAGATAGACCTGGGGGTGGGTAGAATGACCAAGTGGAGTATAGACTGACCCAGGGGGCTTCCTGTCCTCAGAACAAGGACTTGAAGACCCGATTGACCAACTTAGAAGGCTTCCAGAAGCCCAGTGCCAGTTTCTCTCAGCTTGAGTCCCAAAATCAGATGTTGCAGGAGCGGCTCCAAGCTGAAGAGAGGTAACACGAGCCTGTCCTTCCTTGCCCCTTCCTTCCTCCCTCTGTCTGGGACTCCCCCATCTTCCACCTCAGGCCTGGCCAACTTTTCTCCTGACACAGAGCAGAAGGAGTTGCAGAAATTCTGAGATGTCAGTGTCCTCTATTCCCCCAGTTCTTTGGATCTTCCCTAAGCCCTCCTTGTTCTGTTGATGGGGCTCATGATGGAGAGAAGTCCTTGGAGGAAGAAAAGAACCAAGCAAGGTTCTCTTAGAAATGGTGATAGCTGTAGATACCCCTCTACCTTCCTCTCCCAGGGAGAAGACTGTTCTGCAGTCTACCAACCGGAAACTGGAAAGGAGAGTTAAAGAGTTGTCTATCCAAATTGATGATGAGCGGCAGCATGTCAATGACCAGAAAGACCAGGTAAGGACATGGACCCTGAGGCCAAACCATCGTGGGCAAATATGTTATGTGTTTGCTTGAAGGATAAAGGGGGCCTCCATCTCCTGTAAGGTTTTCGAACCTAAACTTTCCTTGTGTAAGGACAGAGAGATTACATTGAAAGGAGAGAGTAGAGCAGTCATAGTTAGCATATGTATTGAATGCTGGTTTCTCTTGCTAAGTATTATGCATGCATTGATTCATTTAATCCCAGGGCAACTTCTGAGGCTACAGAATTTGCCTATGATTGCACTTTTTCAGAGGCAATTATCCCTTGTCAAGATTGTTACAGGGGGGCTGGGATTGTGGCTCAGTGGTAGAGCGCTTGCCTCCTATATATAAGGTACTGGGTTCAATCCTCAGCACCACATAAAAATAAATAAATAAATAAATAAATAAAGGTATTGTGTCCATCTACAACTAAAAACATATTTTAAAAAAGATTGTTCTAGGGGCTGGAGTTGTGGCTCAGTGGTAGAGCACTTGCTTAGCATGTGGGAGTCTCTGGGTTCGATTCTTAGCACTACATATAAATAAATGAATAAAATAAAGGTTCATCAGTATCTAAAAAAAAAGATTGTTACAGAGGAGATTCTAGGCCATGGTAGCAGGTGCCTTTCTAACGTGGGACTTGGTATCCTGTCCAGTTAAGCCTGAGGGTGAAGGCTCTGAAGAGGCAGGTGGATGAAGCAGAAGAAGAGATTGAGCGACTGGATGGCCTGAGGAAGAAAGCACAGCGTGAGCTGGAGGAACAGCATGAGGTCAATGAACAGCTCCAGGCCCGGATCAAATCCCTGGAGAAAGACGCCTGGTATGAGCTGCCCTTCTGCTCCCAGCTCCATGGGGGCAGCACAGAATCTCCAAAATGGGGGATTCAGCCTCGTCCCCTTCCTTACCGGTATTCTTTCTGACTCAGGCGCAAAACTTCCCGTTCAGCGGCTGAGTCGACCCTCAAACACGAGGGCCTGAGCTCAGATGAGGAATTTGACGGTGTCTACGACCCCTCATCCATTGCATCACTGCTTACGGAGAGCAACCTGCAAACCAGCTCCTGTTAACTCGTGGTCTTCAAGGGTCCAGAAACAGGCTCAAGGCCTACCCCAGCCAGCCCCGCTCTGCCCTGCTCTGCCCTGCCGGCCTTGGATTCATCTTTCCTGTGGGTGACCCACTTATTCAGACCTAAGACAGGGATGGGTCCAAGTGATGGTGATAAAAAAAGACATCAGAATGAGCTGATGGATGAACTTGGCCTTTCCATTGGAGAAGTGGATATTTTAGGCCTGTAAAGTCCTTCTCTTAGATGCTGACTCCTCCTTCATCTCTCTATAGTGGAAGGATAGTCAGCATACAGACTGAGAGAGACTGAGAAGGGAAGGAAAGGGTAGAAATTGCCATGTATGAAGCTTTGTTTCTTTAGCCATTAGCCCTATGGCTCAGGGAAATACCCTATGCTATTCTGCAACCTAGTTTTCTCCCACTCTGGAGCAGGGTGAGGGGAACATTATGGGTAATGAGCACGCAGGCGTGACTCTACCCACTTCTCAAATGCTTCTCTTTGCACAGTTGTGGGGCCCATGTGGTTGTCCCATCCATTTCCAATTCCTATATTTTTTTGTCTTCAAGCCAATGGGTCCAGGGGACCCTTCAGCCTCTCCCCTTCCATCTTCACCCTTCTTACCTTGTTTCTTTCCTCTCAGTGCCTTAGCCATGGTGAGGAGATAAGTATGCTCTTCTTGCCTTTTATACCTGCACACTCAGACCTCTCCAAAAACCATCCTTTTCCCATCTGGGACCCTCATCCTGCCCTGCTTCCTCAGTGACTGGTCAAAAGCTACTGGCTGCTCTACTGGTGAGCCCTGGGTAAGGGACTTTGGTAGGGCCATAATAAGGTGGTGGAGGCCTGGTTCTGCTCAGGGTTTCCATCCTCCTTTGTCTCCCTCCTCTGTGACTATGGTGGTTAGAAAGTGGTTGAACCTGGGAACCCTAACAACTGTGTGTACAAGTTTAAAAGCAAAGGTCTCAGTTCCTGTGGCCTTCCTTGTGGTTTCTCTGACTAGGGATGTCCAACCTCAGTGGGGAACCAAGGGATCCTTATTTATTCAAGAACTGGGCCCTTATTTAGGGTTTCCCCTGGATTTAGAAGCTGACTCTTGGTACAGATCAGAAGATGTGATGGGTTTTATATTCCTCTTTTGGATTTTTGGGGAGAGCCAGTCCCTGGTGGGGAGGCCGTAAGGGGGATGATTCACCTCTTATTTCCAAAGCAGGTTCTATAGGGAGCCTCGTGAGCCTGTGGAAGAAGGCTGTTCTCACCAATGACTTGTAATTTCATGATTTAAAAAAATTCCTATATTCTGCAAATCAGACATTTTCTCCTAATCCAATCCAGCCTTGTTTTTATTTTTAAATTAAATATTAAGATTATATAGCTATATTGAAATCCTTGTCTTCTTTTTTTTGTGTGGCTTATTTAGAGGTCTAAGTTTTACAAAGAAGTTGTTTTAACTCTACAGCTTAGCGGCCATGTTGTCTTTTACCAATGGTCATATGTACCTAGAAAACCTGGCAGTGTTTATAGCAGCATTCATATTCTCTCCTGTACAATCTTCTCAGAATAGCAAGGCCAGAAAATGTTTTCTTTGAGGTTTTATTCCATTGGTTCCCAGGGGTATCCCTAGCATTCACCTCCCAGGCAAAAAGATCCTCATTCATTACTAACTGGCATGGGAACTTACCTGGGAGGTAGAGGAGTTTCTGCCATCCCTGCCTTTGTGTTGGTTTGAAGAAGGAGCTGGCCATTCACCAGAGCCTATTGCCAGATGGGGTACTTCTCAAGTTTAAGAGTGGGTCAGATCTCCTGAATGATTCTGCCTACTGCCCATGTGGACCGGAGGCAAGTAGACCAGCCATCTGCTGAGAATAGCTGGGCTGGGAAGAAACTCCAGGGTCCTGCTGGGCCAACCCCCTGTCTTCTAAAAGCCTTCAAGATCCCAGCCTAGGCCTAGGTAGCAAATGCTATTGAAGAAGGTGAGGCTCATTCTTCTTCTAGAATACAAATTCCTTTTAAGGCAATGTGTCCCGCCTCTCCCCACCATATAAGGGTGGCTTTGGTTTAATAGCTTCTGCAAAACAAGCCCCACCCAGAGCCTGGCTGGCTTTGACTTTGGCCTGGGCATCTTGCCAGGGAAGGGCACCTGCCAGACTGGCTTAGGCTAGTCTGGGTGAGCTGGCCTTTGGTGCCTGCCCCGCCTTTTTTTTTTTTTTTTTTGGGGCGGGGAGATACTGGGTATTGAACCCGGGGGCGCTTCCCCACTGAGCCACCCCCTCTTTTTTTTTTATTTTTATTTTGAGTCAGGGTCTTCCTAAATTGCAGAGGCTGGCTTAAAAACTTTCCATCCTCCGGCCTTAGTGTCCCGAGTGGCTGGGATTCCAGGCGTGCGCCACATTGCTGGGCGGTGCCTACCCTTCCACCTCTGGAAAGGTTTACTCAGCTCTCCCAAGCCTACAGGCTGGAATATCCAGGGAGAGGAGAAGGCGGTTGTGTGCAGGTTCCACGTCCTCATTCCCTATAGAGGGGCACATAGGGTGGTTTCCTCTGGCCGACCCTGATCTGGGGAATTGAAAGGAGACCGAAGAAGACTGTGGAGGTAAAACCACACATCCTAGACAGAACTGGGCAGTTGAGCAGCCTGAGGTCACTTCCAAGCCCCGCCTATATGTAAATCTGAGCGAGCGCCGGAGGGCGTGTCCTGGGACCGCCCACCTCGCTCTCTCGCTCGCCCATTGGCGAGCAGTGTTCCGGGGCGTGGCCTATCTTCAGCCCGCCCCTGACGCGTCTATATAAGGGGGTGATTCCGCGCTCGCCCGCCCGCCGAGAAAACGCCGGACGGCACCGAGGAGGGGTGATCCCGTGTGGCTGTCCCTGCGGGAAAACGATGAACGGGACGCGAAACTGGTGTACCCTGGTGGACGTGGACCCGGAGGGCCAGACTGCGGTAAGAAAAAGCGCCCAAACGCTCTCCCCACTTAGTATCCTCGGTTTCTAGTTCCGCCCCTCCGGTGCCCGGCTCCGAGTTCGCTGACATCACCTGGTGCTGGACTCGTGCGGTCAGCCCTTCGCGGAGCTTTTCTCTCTTTTCCTTTGACCTGCCTTGGGGCGGTGGCGCGGGAGGAAGACGTCGGAGTCTCGGGGGCCGGAGGTGCCCCTTTCTTTTGGGAGAACCCTGCGGCTTCTGCCCGGGACTGGGCGCGCGTGAGCCCTTGCTTGGGCCGCGGGTCCCAGTGCACATTACTCAGGCGTCCGGTGGGCAGCTAGATTGGATTGTGGGAGACAGAACTCAAGGGACCGGATTCCTGTCCCGCCTTGGACACTGTGTCCCGCCAAGGCGGAGTAGGCTTTTCTGTGGGTCCTGGTGACCTCAGAGGCCTTTCAGAGAATTTTATGGTGCTCTGGATGATCAGTAACAGGATACAAGAAACAGGGGTGGAGGGTGAAATCCTGGAGTTTGGAATGGAATCACTCCGAGATTGGCTAGGGATTTTACCTTTCCCTAAGAAGGATGGAGCATTCTACCTGGTGCTCACCTTTTTTCTTGAATTTCTCCTTTTTGCCCCCTGCAGTTCTCCTGCTCCCCTCCCCCAGTCGGTCAACTGATAGCTTCCTGGGACGGTTTGTTGGTTTTGCTTCTGTCTCCAGCCGCCAAGCCCAGGGCAAGTGGATGAAGGGATGCAGAACCTGGGCTGAGAAAGGAAGGGAAGCGAACCTCCAGAGGGTTTCTGGACTCGGTAAAGGCTGAAGAGATGGAGGTCGTTTTTCTAGTGCAAGCCAGTGTGCCCTGCTTCTCTCATTTCCTGGCTCTCAGTCCTTGCACATTTGTGCCATGACCCCCTCTGGCTGACCATATGTTTTTTCCCCTTCACAGGCAAAGGAGGATAATTTGTGGCTGAATATTTCTAGGCTCTGCTGGGGAACCTAACCTAGCATAAGTGTGTAATATTTCATCAATTTCTAAGCTGTTGTGGTGAGAGTGAAATGGAGGTCAAGGTGATGGCTAGTTTGATCCCCTCCCCCATCTGATTTCCTTACCTCTGCCTGTCTCAGCATGCCCTGGAGGTAGAGCTAACTCAGCTTCCCAACTGCTGCAGGATTGTGGCTCTTCTTTGTAGAGTATTAGTAGAATAGATGCTTATTTGAATTTTAGGGTACAGGTGATCTTTTAACTCTATTTGCAGTTCCCTTGCTGTTTCTGTTTAGGCTTATGAATGTTTCCGCTGCTTTACAAATCTTGCTACTGTCCAACTTCTGTCCCCTACATCTCAGTCTTCTCCAGCTGTAGGATGCTGAAGAGATAGGAAAAAAAAAAAAAATCCATCCCCCGTTGTGTCTAGCCCAAAGTCCTACTCCATCATCTTACTGTTTTGGAATGGTTGAGGCAGGGAAAAGGGTGTGAGATGAAGGATAGAGGGGGTGTTTCCTCTTCTTTTTGTTGCTGTAGAAAAGAGATCCAGAAAGAGGTCTAAAACTGTGACATTGGCAGCACTGAGAATGAATTGTCACCCTCTGCTTTCCCTTGATGTTTTTTACTGCTTGTTTGGTGTGGCAGAAAGAACAGGTAGGAAAATAATGAGCAAGGAATTCAGACATAGATAACCAGAGATCTCTAAGAACAAGAGGAAGAGAAATTTCCTTTTATTCCTTTTTTCTAGGTTGAACTTGAGATTTATTTTACACCAAAGCTGGGAATGTAATAACCATTGGGTTTGATCTTGAAGACATTCCTGGGCTCTTAAGGAGGGGGAGGAGATGGTAAACAATCAGTCAGGAGATAGGCATTGTCCTGAATTCTTCTTCTCTGAGCCAGCCTGCAGATAGAATTTGTGGCTTTGGACAGTCCCTAGAAAATTGTCGTACAATCATACCATGCTCAGTATATGTGAAAAGTGAATGAGTGAATAAATAAATGAACAGATGTTTTTTCTGGAGTTGGCATTGTAGGCAGTTGATTGGAGTGTTCTAGTGGAAATCAGGATCTTGGATCTTGGTGTTTGCTCATGAGCCAGATCATGTGCCTTAGTACCCCATATATAGAGATGGGAATATAGCTAATACACTTTCTGGATTGTTTCATTACAGACAGGTGTGTGCCACTGTGCTTGGCCCTTTTTATTTTTTGAGACAGGGTCTTGCTAAATTGCTGAGGCTGGCCTGGAACTTGCGATCCTCCTGCCTTAGCCCCCAAGGTTGCTGAGGTTACAGGTGTGTGCCAGTCCACCGGGCTGGATTATTTTTATTGTTGGATGCAGATGCAGCATGTACAAGAAGCCAGTGTTTTTCAAAACCGTAGATCTTAATCACTTAGTGGGTCTGAAGTCACCATAGTGGGGTAAAACCAGAATCAAAAAAGAAGTACGTTGTTAACACTCTGAGTTTTAGTAAGGATAGATTTTTTTGGCAAAACTTTGTTTCAGTTATATCTAGATATGTACTTTTAACATATGCATGTTTATTTACTGAACCTTGATGTAAAATTTATTTTTTAGGTCAAAAAAGTTTGCAAGGGGCTGGGGTTGTGGCTCAGTGCTACTAGAGTGCTCTCCAAGCCTGCGTGAGGCACTGGGTTCAATCCTCGGCGCCACATAAAAACGAAATAAAGATATGTGTTCGCCAGCAACTAAAAAATAAATATATTTTTTAAAAAGTTTGTAAGCCATTTTGGTAGGTTATATCAACATATAAAAGTACAAAGTAAGGCTCAAACTCATTTTTTTGGTGGGGGCGGTGGGTACCAGGGATAGAACTCAGGTGCACTCAACCATTAGCCATATCCCCAACCCTATTTTGTATTTTATTTAGAGACAGGGTCTCATTGAGTTGCTCACTGCCTCACTGTTGCTGAGGCTGGCTTTGAACTTGCGATTCTCCTGCCTCATCCTCTTGAGCCACTGAGCCCAGCTCAAACTCATTTTTATTAGACATTTCCTTTAACTTTCTTTGATAAAACAACAGAGAGTAACTCTAGCTAACTTAAACAGAAGAGGAATTTATTAGAAGGCAACGGGGCAGTGCACAGAATTTAAGGGAAAACTTTAAGTCCAAATTGAGGAAGTGAGTTCTGGGGCCTCAGAAGGTGGAAGGAACTAAGGGAGATTTTCTACTTTTGGGTGAATTGGTTCCAACTGTTTTAGGTATTTTTATTTATTTATTTATTTTGTTTTTGCCATTCTGCCCAAGATTCCACGGAGAGGGTGCCAGGGAGAGGGTTCCTGGATTGACAGGCCCACAAGATTACTCAGTGAAGAAGTGAGATTCTTCAAAACAAAATCCGTGTTACCAGAGGAGAACAGAAGTTGTGGGAGAACAGAAGATGTCTGTGACGTTTGACTTTAGCATGATGAACTATGATCCCCCCCCCCTTTTTTAATGGAAAGAGTATATGTGCATGGTTTTTAAAAAATCTAAATAATACCAAATGGCTTTAAAATAATATAATGGACCTCAACTTCAAGCTTTGCATCGTGGAAATAGCCGCTTTCAACTTTTTTAGTTATTTTGTCTCCTGTCTGCCTCCATGTTAAATAACATGCTCATAGGCTTACAGTGATATTTCTTGATTTATCAGTCGTAGGCATCTGTTGACTTCCTGTTGTAGGAATTATGGGAGGACTTATACTCCCACCCCTTACATTCTCCTTTCCAATGATCCCACAGTTTTTAGCTGAATTATGGTTTCTGTTTAAAGCATTATAGTTAAAGGCATGGCTCTGGGAATTTAAGGTGGGCTTTAGTCAGGGCTCTGATGTTTTCTTTGACCAGAATTACTTTGGTAAATTAATTTCTTCATTCTCAGTTTCCTCGTGGGTAAAATAGGGATAATAACTAACACCTTCTCATGAGGTTGTTGTAAGGATTAAGTAAGATAATACATACAAAACATTAAGCACACTTCCTGCCACATGCTTGCTAAGTGCTCAGGTGTTAGCTGATATTTTCTATTCATTTCTCCACTATTTTAACCTCCTTGGAGCACCCTGGCCAAAGGATGGGGGAAAAGTCGGGGACCTGTTGGGCTTGGTCGAGGTGTGCTCCTCATTCTGTTGACATTCGTTTTTTCTTATCTGTTCCTTTCCCTTTCCTTGATTATTTAGATCCCTCTGCCCTTGGAGGACCCCAAGGGTGAGAGAAGGCCTGTGGACAGACCCAGAACAAAGATGTGGGTGACCTTTGCTAAGTCCTTACTCGGCCAGGACTGGTCCTAAATGGGGGTGTGTTTAGGGTTCATTATTGGCGTCCCTCTTGGCCCTTTTCTTCTCCTTTTTCTGGCCTCAGAGCCAAGGCACTGTTGTCCCCTGATTAGTGATTCCCTTTAAGTAACCTGTTGGTGTCACCCTTCCTCAGAGCAGTTGCATTTTTTTCATCCTCCCTAGTGTTGTGTTGGGTTGTGTTTGATTTATGTTGGCCAGAGAGGTTCTTTCAACAGCATGGTAGATCTGGAATTCGTCATCGGTAATGTGAACTCTTTTCTTTGCCATGGAGTAGGTGATATTCCTGTAGGACCTCAGCTAAAATTGAATAATGCCAAATCTTTCCTGAGCCCCACTTTTTCAAAACCTAGAACTCTGGTTTATTGAAGGCTTACCATAAGCTTCATATATTTTTTAAAAAAATTTGTAGTTGTAGATGGACAGAATGCCTTTATTTTATTTATTAATTTTTATGTGGTGCTGAGGATCGAGCCCAGGGCCTCTCGCATGCTAGGCAAGCACTTTGCCACTGAGCAAAGCCCCAGCCCCATATATATATATTTTATAACAGCTTTATTGAAATATTATTCTTTTATTATTTGGTACTAGGGATTGAACCCAGGAGCACTTAACCACTGAGCTACAACCCCAGCTCTTTTTTATTTTTTATTTTGAGACAGGGTCTTACTAAGTTGCTTAAGGCCTCACTAAGTTGCTGAGGCTGGCTTTGAACTTGCAATCCTCCTTCCTCAGC